GTGAGTGCACAACGTAATGAAATGACATTCTAAATGAATCACAGAATTATGCTTTCCTCAGTCAATTGCATTACTTTCAGAGCTGGTGTTTGTTAGAAACTTAATCTCTCTTGATGCTCTACTCTTTCACTGTGAATTAAACCTGCTGTTTGATACAGTTTGTCTGTTGTCACATTTAATATTAAGCTGGAAAGGATCAAGTATCAATCAATGATTTAAGTTTTGCTAACCTGGCTAGGACTGAGATTTAGCATGAGCATCCAGAATATCATGACTATTTTTATAAAGCAATAAACTGCCCTCCTTACAATGAGAAAACATAAAGAACTTCACCTCACATCTCTGTCAAATGGTCTCAGGCCCCTCTGGAGCACAGTCCTGCCTGTATTTTACACTCTGAAATCAATCACTCCTCTCTGGTCCTAGGTTCTCTAAATATAGAGTACTGTACATTCCCAGTGCTCCTTTGGAGAGGAAACAGAGAAACAAAGTGTACGATGGAATTGAATGCAAAGCAGAAAAAAAATATCACCGGCTAAGCGTTTTACTCTGGACTGTAAGAAAACATTTTTTTCCAAATAAAAAAGTCAAAAGAAGAAAACAAAAAAAAAGGTAAAGAATTTTAAAAGCAGTGCTGAGCAGCTGTTAAAGGAGAAAATTGAAATGCTGCCAACAGAACAGCTTGTATTGACTGTGTTTATATTTAACAACCTATAGCTCACTAATATTTTTCAGGGGGGGCCACCTGACCTGTAACCATAAGCCTTTGCACCATTTTATGTCGTTTCACTGTGACTGAGCACTTTTCTAAAAAATAGCCGGGTCTTTTCAGATTTAAAATAAAAAAATGACCGTGGTTGTTTTATTTCATTGTGAAAGTAGAGGTTCACTGAACTCCTATTCTTATCTTATTTATTCCACTTCAGCTCCTCTTCTTCTGCCTCTCTCCATATAAACAGCAAACAAAACCTCCTCAGTTTCCAGTAATGTTACGGCACAGGCACATTACAGCATGCACACTTAAGTGTCTTACTAAGTGTGATTTGTGCAACACAGCTTTGCATAATTCATAATAACAGGTATGTGTTCCCCTGCAGATATCCAAACCTTGTCGATTGATTTGTATAATTTTCCGAGTTTTTCTATTTTTCCAAGTGTCAACGGTCAGCTTCCATTTATTTTGCTGATCAGTTTATTGTGGATCAATCCTAAGTGGTTTCTCGAAGGCGGTGGTCTTACTCAGGCGATGGCTCAGTTTTCCCCAATTCAATTGTTCAGGCAAGAAGCAGCAAGAAGAAACTTAGTTCCAGGAAGGAACAGTTAAATCTTTAATCCAGAGCTTTGAATGCACAATAAATCTTGATAGAAAACCAACACAAACAGGTAAAGAAACTTATATTGAATTTCAGTTATATGTATTCTAACCCATTATATCCCTGTTTTACAATATTGGATTAAAAAATCCAGTGAGTTAGCATTCATAACTTCTATTAATGATGAATAAAGCACCTGAACTCTTCTTAGAAGTTTGTATAAGTCCTCTGATGTAAACTTCTCTCTTCTGTTAGACTTCCTCAGAAGATCAAAGGACAGGCTTGGGATTGAATGGAAGAACTTTTGCTTATATAATATTACCCAGTGTGGTATGCTGCAGGATTTTATTACAGAAAATTAAAGTTATGTTTACACCAAAATTAAAGCTATGGCTACAGTACATTTTGCAGAAAATATTTTTCCCACTAAAATAATATTCTGGCAGATGAAAATGAAACACTTGGCAAATTACACATAAAAAGGTTGATTGGCAGTGGAGAGAAATTGTAAGCTAAGCTAACCTCCCCCTCTGGCTTGATATTTTCCTAATATTGTATTCCTAATTGCAGACAGTTTAAGGAAACTTAAATGTATGTTTATTACATATCCCATAAAGAAAAATCTATAGCAATGATAGACATCAAAACTGCAGAATTGTTATTTTAGAAAAATTAGAATATAATGTTGGGGTTGGCAGCCAAAATACAGCCTAAGGTTTAGGCAAATGATTACGCAATTAATGTTTTCCCAGCATCGAGCAATCTAATACAAGTTCTCACTGTTTCGAAAACCAAACACAAACTAGCCTCTTAAATCTTTGCTCCTCTTGAGTCTTAAGATATTACTGAACATGAAGCCATTCCTCCTCTTATTATAGTGTGACCTCTGTCACAGGAGGTCAATGGACTGATGAAGCAGCGAATGGGATAACAACATTCTTCAAATTCCCATGCTGCTCAGTCAGCCAATTAACTTCATTCAGGCGGACACTACACATAGTTCACTTGCTGTGTAGGCACGCATCTATATTGTATTATCTACATATTATTACATTAGTGGTGATGGTCCCTATGTAGTATTCAAGGTAGAAGATATCATATTAAGTAATCAGGTTTTTAGTGACAATTTTCTATTAAAACAGGGCAATTAATGCATTTTTTGTTAAACCTGGTCTCTGTAAAAATCAAAATACGCATTGTAAGTATATATAACAGCCTTTAGGATATACGGTAATGCATATTTTCATTGATTATCTTTCTTTTTAGAAAAGAGAAATAATACAAGACGTTTTCGAATTCCTTACATTCAGAATCAACACATTCATCACATTGTAGGCATAATGACCTTGGTGCCAACTCCTTTTAAATTGGTTTTCAACCCTGTGTGAGAAGTCTTCTTTTCTTTCATCTGACTTTATGCTGAAAAGGAGATCTGCCTAATAACATAATGATTAAAAGTACAGTACTTATTTACTTGTCTGGTAAACTCACATAGTTTTTAATTGGATGAGTTATTGGAAGAGCACCAATGTTAGAGAATCCATCCACTCATTTAACCCAGTGATTGAGAGGCCCATCTCCTGAAAAAATCACAACACGTTCACAACAAAAGTTCTTGAGGAAGATAAGTCCTCAGTCATACCTGTCACCTACTCTTTGGTTTTTGTAAATAAGATGCGTTCTTGGTTAAGGAACTCCCCTCCTACCCCCATCTTCATCACCCTTGTAGAGACCTCTGGCTCACATGACTTGGACAGGAAGGGTATACCCCCTCATCTTTTCTCATGTTCTTGTTAGACAATAAACTTTGTGTTTGTGACTTTCCTTATGTTCTCACATTCTAACTCGTATTACCAAGTTGTCACCTGTATAGTCAGGTAGCCTTGATTCACCAAGCATGCTGCCTCCCTGACTCTAAGGCTCTCTGGGGCTTATCTGTATCTCCTGAAGTAAAAGTGTGTCTGTTGCGCTGTGCCACAAGCTCCAAACAAAAAGCACTATTAAAATGCATTTTGCTCAGGTAGTTCATATAAAGCCACAGCTAATCATGCTGTGATGATGACTTTGCTTCCTACTGTAGAAATAAGAATTTGCTATCCGAAGATGGGATAAACGTCAATGTTTAGATAATCCCATGCTTGGTGATGCAGTCTGAAGGCAAGTGACATAACACAAGGCTTCCTGACCAGCTGTTATTGCAAACTGCTCTACTATTTCTGGAAAGTGTAATACAAAGTCATAGCTGTTCTTTGTGTATCACTTTATTTCTGTTTATACTGTAGGTTGTGGGTAAAGCACAGATATTTATTTTACATAGGTCAAATATAATTCATTTAGGCAAAAACAAAAAATAATTGCATAAATGCTCTTTGAATTGTAAATTGTAAAGGTTTCTGCTCCTTGAAAAACAATAAATAATACACAAACTCGCCTTGCATCAGATAGATTCAGTTTAAACTTTATGGCCTAAATGTTTGTGTTTGTGCTCATGTATTGTAGGAAGGCTCCTCTTGATAGAAAAACAAAAACATTTTTATTGTTGTACAACATTATTTGCTGGGTGTAAAAGTCCTGAAAGATCTCTTTGTACCTGTCGGATATACCCTCATTGAATGTTTAGATGTGATTAAGATGTTAAATTATTGTTTTATACAATGTGTGCAGATCTTGCTTTTATTAGATACATTTTGTCAAGAATGATGGGTAAGATATATGCAGACTTTGGTCATTTAACCAAAGAAAAACTCCTGCACCCAGCCAAGATTGAATCTTTTTAGCGGCACAGATTCTTTGGGAGTTGAACTCTGGCCAGCGTCCACCTCAATTCTGCAGTGTAATGACACTGCTTACTGAAAATCTTTTCTTTCTCCTTTTTGTAGGTGGGAGCAAGCCAACATTCAGAGCTTACAGGTGTTTCTGCTAGTGGGACTTTCAGGTCTTGAGAGGCATCGAAGAGGGGATTTCATGTGCAGTTGACTGTTTTACTGGCAGGCATTAGTCAAACATAACAAAAAAGTTGACTACAGAGACTACCTGTTGAGACTTAAAGATCATTAAAGTAATAATTGGCATACCCTAATGACGGCTCTTCTTTGATTAAAAAAAATCTGCTGTTCTCAGCAAAGTCATATTCGTAGTGGTATGTGCATCTATGTAGATCTATGATCTTTGGATGGCAAACTCTGTCATTGTGCATCATGCCACAACCTAGCATTCCTGGTCTGAATTGTGTGAATTTGTGAAACAAAGCAACATATTTTCAACAAAATACCACACGGTGTGGACAGCAACGATGATTTTCATTTGTCAGTAATTATAGAACAGGACAAAATATACAAATGACACCAGAATGACCATGTTAGTACTAAGTCGGTGACATAATCACTCACATTATCGATTCATAAAGGCTTTTACTTGTGAATTTTTGCAATTGTTATACTTGTGAGCACAGGCTCACAACCTTTAAGAACATCAGAAGCCTTGTTTTTAATGGCATGAATTTGTCTGACTCAGCCATTAAGTATCTCACCATAAGGTCATTTAAACAGGCTACAAGAAGTGCCTGGAACATGCAGAACGTTCTAAGACCCTTTCAAAGACCTACAGTAGGGCATTTTGCTATTCAGAGGGTTCAACTGAGGTGAAGGGCAGCAATGAATGGAAGACAAGAAGCACACAGACACACCATTGGATATTCCACAATTTATTAAGGACATGTAAGATCAACTTAAAAGAGCCACAGAGATTCATGAATGTTCTTTTTGTGTTTCACCATATCAGTTAATAAATATATCATGTTCACCACATCTGCCAGCAAGGCTAAAGATATAAATACAGACTGTATTCCATGCAATTTTTTGTTGTTGGTAGATTCTTACTTTCTAGGCAGCCTCGATGACAGCAGAGCGACACTGCTTCCCTCCAGCTTTCCACAGTTCTTCACCCCTTGTACTTGGCCACTACGTCCACCTGAAAAGAAATGTATTTTTTGAAGAGGCTGAAAACATGAATGACTGAAAAACCTTTTGCATGTGTTCTTATATCTATGGTTTGTCTTCACATGTGTTTTAGAATTTGACTCAGAAGTTGGAGGAACTGTTTAATGGACTGCCTTAATTGAGGTAGGTGTTTTATGAAACTAGAATGCAGAGACACTCAAAATGAAAAAGAAAACATGAATTGTAAATCACATTATGCCATCCTAGATGTGTCAGTGTTTCACAGCTTCTGAAGACTGTGATATTTAGACTCAGAAATTCATCAGATCATTGAAAACAACATTATGGTGTTATGTTTCCTGGAACTATATAGAATGATGACTAATGATAAAAAAGGTGAGCTCATTCAGTATGGGCTATCTGTACAGAAGCACACGTCTTTGTCATTGCAAGCCTGTAAGATGCAGTTCTAGATTTAATCCTTGGGAACTAGCAAACTTCATCTAAAAATTTCAAATTTCTTTTGAATTGATTAAATTCAATATTGGTATTACTGCAGGGTGTTATTTCTAACAATAAACTATTTTCAGGTTACATCATCTCTACATTCATAATGAAAGAAACTGGTAGAGGAACTATTGCCTTTGTTCTAATGGATTAAATGTTCTTTTCTAACTATTTTGGTCTGGTTCTATGCAACTGTAATAGAAAAGATAATATACTGTATAAAGATGAAGGGAGAGCGTGGTAATACTGTGGTTTTAACTCGCCTAGCTGATGACATGACAGTGCTGGCTGGAAATCCATGCTGTCACATCCTCCCTCACTCATAAGGTACAAGCCAAGTAGAAAATGCTGTCACAGTAAAGCTGGGGTGAAGGGAGGGGTGCTAGTAAAGATGCAAGGAGCGCCTTGTTCATCCATTCATGCTTAATACTTTGGATTTAACTCGCCTGGCTGAGGTATTGACAGTGCTGATCAGAAATCAAAAGCTGTCACTTCACCCCCAAAAGGATCTCCAAAACACCAATGCAGATTTCAAGCACTGACGCAAGAGCAAGCAGTTTCATGCATGTAGCATGGAATGAATGAGAAGTGCATACGATGTGGGTTTTAGCATGTTTGACAAGCTTATGTGAATGATGTGCAGTGCGTTAGAAGCAGGTATGATGCAGGTGACAGAATGAAAGTCAGCGAACAGGTGGCAGCACTAGCAGAACCTAGGATGACTAGCTTGAAATTAAAATCCTGTGGCGGGTAGCAAAAAGAGCAGTGGTGACTGGAAGAATAGCCTGATGTGAAAGCAGGAAGACAGCTGCCACTTGCTGAAGTTTCCTAGATGCAATGCAGGAGAAACTATTCCAAGCTGAACCCCCAGAAGAAGAAATTCCAACAACGTATACAGCTGGAAGCTTTGACAGGGGGGAGTGGAGGGCCTGTACGATACCAGTTGGACACCAACTAATGGAAAGCGGTGGGAGGGGAACCTTTTTCTGTAGAAGTCTAGGCTGCAGATGCTAGGGAAAGAGTGGGAACGAATGAGCAATGAAAATATGTTTTAAACACATCTGCTGCAAACCAAAACGCCAAGTGCTAGAAAAGATAAGCTCAGCACTGTGTTCTGCCAGACAGTCTTTATGCAGAGGGAAGCGCAAGTGCGAAATTAAAATTTGTCCACCACCCAAAATGTCCGCTCAATAACACCATAAAGCATTTACTTATGTCTCTGTCATTGAGGGTTTGTAGGACCATAGTACAAATGGAAGATTGCCATATGAAATGCAGTCATGGTTGAAAACTTGCATCAGCAGGCTGATCCTGATTGCCAATCAATCCCTGCAGGGACATCAATGGCACCATCCCTAAGCCTCACTTGGAACACACCAACAGCCCTGGTTTTCTCTGTCACGGCAGGAAGACCAAACCAGATTCCTATGGTATCACATGTATTCAGAAAGCTTATAAAAGCATCCAGGATGATACATTTTCCCCATCTCCCAAACCCAAAGTCAGAACTGGAACAATGTTAGTTGTGGATCAAAGCCAGTGAACGTTATTTTCAGCTCAATGGTGACAAGATAACAAAAAATACCAACTCTACATTTGCACACAGCTGAGACAGACTATCATATCACACCTTATTATACAGTATATGTAACATTGTTTTTGAATATAACACTTTTACACACCAGTTTATTTGACCTGTTTTTTATATCTTAGGGATCTCCTAAAATATACGACAAATATACTTCTCAATATACTGTAATAACAGTGATTGTGAATTGTAATTTAATGTTGTATTGTAAGGACATGTTATTCTAAATACCTAACCTCATACCTAAACATCCGCCTGATATACATTCCAAGAATTCCAAATCATGCAATGTCCCAGAATGAGTCAAGAAGGAATAAATCAGTGTTATCTTATTAATTTTAATTGTTTCATTATTAGAAATTACAATTGTTATATATTATGTACTGTACATATGACATTAAATAGAAAGCATTTCAAATTGTTAAAAATAGAAAAAACACAAAATGTAACTCTTTGGCCTTGAACAGAGAAATCAATGAGGGGACATATCCCAGATTGTTTAAAATCCTAATAGGCACTGATAAAGTGAATCAAGCAGATTTCTTCAAAAAGGACAATGAACTATGAACTAGGGGGCACAAACATAAAGTACTTTGGGTGCTGAAAACAATCCAAACGAGTTGTGGCCTCTTTCACGCAGGAGTATGAAAAAGTAACAGCTATGCTGTTTAAGTCAGTACCCTGTCCTCTTTGAACAAACAGCTGGATGAATTTTTTGGATCAATTAACCCCTGTGAAATAGGCCTGACAGGCTTTTCTTATGTTCTTAAGATAAAAGTCCATTGTTTTGCCAATTTACTATTCTACAAATTGGTTTTTACAATCAGTAATTTAAGACAATCGTATTAAAGAACAGCCTCTGAGCAGCCGTCTAGCGTGAGAGAATGAATACCTTTCTGAGACTAAACTTGGAAACGATTCTTTGCTTTATGTTGTAATCACCAGCGATGCTTTCAGGAGATCAAACACTCATAATTACAGTAACACATGATATTGTTGAAGTCCTTAGAGGATCTACTGCTTTGGACCTTCCTTGCCTTAAACAGTGGAGCCATGACAGTATCCATCTTTTTGCCCTCTACAAATATAATCATACTATCTAGAAAGCCCTGTGCTTGGGTCTTTAAAGAGGGGCCAGGAAATATTCTAAAGCTTCAAGCTGCAGGTTGATTCATATGTGAAGCAGACAGTCTTTAATGCAGGAATGTTGTGCTAGGATTCTGGAGTAAAATTATAGCTCTCCTCTCCTAAGGTACAACACTTCTTGATGGTGTAGAAAGCATGGGATTCTCCATCTCTCCTGGGAAAGAACAGCTTTTCACCCAACTAAAAGATCTGATTAGGATCAAAAGATTAATAGAGGATTTTTTTGCACGAGCACATTAATGGTAATATTCAACATTTAGTTTTGAATACTGCTATGCAGCAGGGTGTGACACTTGTTTAGGTTCTGAAGGAAGCCAGAGTTTTAAGGTGAGGGAATCAGAAGATCATATAAAAGAACACCTTGAGTGAAAACGCTAGCTGCTAGAACACACTGTATACCAATGTACCAGATCTAGGAAGGCGATGTAGGACTGCTTTTTTGTCCTGCCTTTCTTTCCCTTTGGAAATGGCATGGTTGTGTCATTGTTCCTTGTGGGGGTGGATCAAAAATCACTGAAGCAGAGCAATTTTCAATCCGTACACTTTGAAAACACTGTAGTTAAAAATGAATGGGAATGCACGGAACTCACTTGCAATCCCTCTAACAAAGCATCTCAAGAAAGTCTTGCGTAAAACTTCTATGCCTCTCATGGATCTGAGTGTATCTCAAGCCGCCACTTTTAAAACCTTTTTCCTTATCGTGGAGCTCCAAGAAAATGAAGAATTGCTAGTTTGTAAAACTGCCCTTAGATGGAGCAGTATTTCCCAAAATGGGGAACCACAGACCACTCAAAATAGCATAGTTGGTAACCATAATACTTACGCAAATCCCAAAAGTTTGTTCAGCAGCATCCCATGCTGTGCATCGTATTGACAGAAGAGCAAATAATACATAGTCATTTTTTTGGGGAACAGAGAATAATAGCTTTACAAATGATGGACAGAACCTGTTTATCTGTAATGGCTTGCTTACTTCAGAGACAAAGGAATCTAACTGGTATATGTGCATACTGGAGACTTGTAAGGGGGGAGCCTATGGTATCTAGGCCAAACAGGGTTATAATTGTGCATTTTCCCCTTGGACAGCATTGTAATAAATGGAGTTGATAACAAAAGTTCAGGAGGGATGACAACAACCAAGCTCAATCAGACTCAGCTGTCAGTAATTAGCAATCGCTCCTGACAATCCATTCCTCTCCCAAACTCTATAAATACCTACGAGATCACCATCTCTCTCTTGCATGTTTCTTGCTTCCCACCTCCACCCCATCTCCCCCTCTGCGACTGCCTCTCGGTCACCCTGCAGGGGGTCCTGACCTCCTTGTCCTCTGGCCAGAGGCCAGCCCTCAGCCAAGTGGGTTAAGCCACAATTTCACTCCATGATGCTTTCATCTTGGGTGTTAATGTTCCTAGTGAAATAGGATTAAAGAGGTGATACAATCTAAATAAATAAATTGATATTTTTTATATTTTTATACATATGCTCAATGTGATTTGTATGGATTGTTCTAAGTGGGCACACAGAGAGGTCACAGTCCCTGCAATTAAGTAGGGTGACCCTATGATTTCATGTTAGCCAAGACACTTTGAGATAGTGTGAGATTTTGAAATGTCCCTTTTAAGAAATGTGTAAGTTGAGCATTACACCTTTATGAGTTGAAAACTGGTGACCATCAGCCTTGTGAACAGCTGAACAATGTCATGAAGTTGGTTGAAAGTGTTATTTCAGTTTTATACTGTCCAGATATAATGAACAGAACAGAACAATACCTTTGTGCCATCAACATTTTAGAGCAAAACCTCAGGTAAACCGCAGTTATGCTCCCGCCATGGGCTCCTTTGAACTTTTGTGTATTGAACTGGGAGTACATGTGGCATTGAGGACTCAGAGACCAGTGATCAGCCACTTGCTTGTCCACGGTCCTAAAAGGAATGGGGCAGAAAACTACACGTTGTGCAAAGCAGGTGTCTGAGATGTACAGCTTGTACTGCTTCCAACAGTCACACCCTTGGCCACACTGTTAATCAACAGTTTTGAAGAGTTATATTAATCAGGATAGTGAATTTACCCATTCATTACCCATTACCCATGATAATGAAATGTCAATGCACCGACCACAAAAAGGTTTTAGAATTTTTCTGATCACAGGGAGTGATACATTTCTTTAGATGCTCAGTATATGTTGCTCACAATCTAAATGATAATATGACTGGCCAAATGCGTTTTTTAAAAGGCAATCAGCAAGTGAATTCCACATTATCGATAAAGTATCAATCCAGTGGTTTACTTCGAGATGTCTCTGATTATGTTATGAATTAATTTGTTAGATAAGTTTCAGACCAGTATTTTTTCCATTGTGGGAAAGAAACCTATTTTGCTATTGGGGTAGTTCAATTCTAAATAAAAAACATATTGTAAACAGACAATAATGACTTTCCTCCCTTCCTAACAAGATTTATATTCATTTTAATTCAAAGAGAAGACTTAATGTTCCAGGCAACTGAAGACCACAAGGCTGATATAAATGGTTATTTCAGAAACATTGTTTACTGCCATTTTCTACAATATTCCTCTTCTAGAATGAGGAATATGTGTATTAATCCGCTTAATATTTTACTCACTTGAAGTGAATGTTTCTCCCAAGCTGCAGTAAATAATTTCCTTCAGATGAAGGCATCACCTATATTTTTCCCTGCAGACGCCTCTTTCCTGGAAGAAAATGAAACAATCACAATTAAAATGCATTCGGTGAGAGTGAGTCTTGTTTGATAAAGAAACAAGGTACTACCTCGCTGTCTGATCTGGGCAGGTTACCTGACGTTATTGTTTTGCTTTATGTCATCAAGCTGTAAAACTGAATGAAAACCGGACCCACTGCAAATCTGCCAGTGCATCAGAATGGCACCATGTGATTTGAACAAATATGATACACATAAACATTAAGTGTACAGGCTCCTGTAAATAATTTACTGTATTTTTTTCAGTCAGCTCAGTTTAGTTATTTGTGATGATTCATCTTCTGGGGGCAGAGCTGCAAGTAGAGATGTCTTGTTGTGCCTCAAGGGTAGTTTTGCCCTCAGAACAAGACTCCTCACATATAACAGAGCTGTACTTTCAGACTGCACTTCACCTTTAACTGTACTTTACCTTAGTAAAGCTGCACTGGACTTGCTTTAAAAATTGCCAGATTGGGTGGGACCATGCAAGCAAAATACCAAAGCTATTGGTTCCATTTCATATGAATCGGGAACATCATCCTCTGTTGGGTTATACTCACAGTTCAGCCTCGTTACAATCAACTTTTTTAATTGGCTGTTGCAAAAATTTAAAGTGCCCTGCAATGGGTTATCATCTATCCTTTTGTCCTGTGCTATCCAGTACAGTGCCCCAGCTCGCTGCTGCTCTCTAAAGAAAAAGCACTTGAATGAATGAATGGATGGATGAAATTCAGATATTTGTGCTGATTAACAGAATCATAGTGAAACATTACATTCTGGTGAATGGGTGGCAAATTTCCAACACGTCACCTCTGCACTGCCCTGTGACCCTGCTCTGTTTCTATTGTAAATTGTAATAAAACTCTTTGCTGTTGAATAAATAGTGCAGATTCAATTGATTGATGGCCATCGCTACAAAGCTCGTATTGTTGGGGTGTGAGCTCTTGAAGAATGCTGCTCATTCATTAATATATTCAACTGCGAGGCTGAAAACATTCCAAAGTTTCCAGAATTAAATTACCAAATTTTTACTCAGCAATTTTTCCTGTGTTTACTTAAGAAACAACAGCACTTCCTCATCTGTGATCCCGTGCCTTCCCACTGGAAAGCCTGAACTTCTTTCATTAGTGAGGATTTTCTTATTCTGAAAATAACACCGATAAAATATTTGCATCGCTTGTGTGGATATTTCCAAAGACTATAAAAATGCTCTCTGAAGCGTACTGTACTGTAGGAGGACCAAAACTCTGATTTCTATTATAAGATGTTTGCCCATTCACACACTGTGGAGAGCTGTCTATGGGAATGTCCCATTATTCATTAAATGGAGCAACTGCTGCTTTGCTAGTGACATAGAGACACAAACTGTTCAAAAGGGATGGGCTAAGTTACCTCATTTAGTCTGTTTCTTGTTCATTCCTTTTCTAACCCCTTTCCAGTACAGGGTCATGGTGGAGCCTATCCCAGCAAGCAACGGGTGCAAGGCAGGGTACATCCTGGGCAGGACGCCAGTCCATCGCAGGGCAGGCACACAGACACACCTAGGGCTAGGTTTCCCAGAATCCAATTAACCTAAAACGACCAGTTTTTGGCCTGTGGGAGGAAACCCACATGAACATGGGGAGGACATACAAACTCCACATAGACAGCACCACAGCACTATTAACCACTGTGCCCCATTGACAGCTGATTGAGGGTTCATGTTTTCACATTCTTAGGAAAACACCTGCGTATACAAGCATGCAGACTTTTGAGAATACTTTAATCGAGGCCATTTGCCATTTTCTTAACCTGGTGCCCTGTAAGTTCCCAGTCTATATATATATGTAAGGGAATAATACACAGAAAAAAATATTACCTGCACCCATCTTTCAATAAAACAGAATATTCACAACACCAGAAACAACTGATAGAGGACAAGAGCTGGAGGACTCACATTTCATATTTGAGCATTCTTGTGTTCACGAGCAACACCAGGGTAATCGCCTAAAAACTCAAATCTGAAAGTCCTTGACTTGGAATGCATTCCAAACCACACATCACTGCAAAATAATAAAACCTGCTTCCAGACCCTGTATCTATATTGTATTTCTCCAAGGGGCTGCAATCAACAAGCTTGAAAACTTGAAAAAGCTGCTGGTGCCAGAAGACAATCACCGAACCGCAGGGGGAAGGCTGAGAGTTGGGTGCACGTCATGTAATTAAATAACCAATGAATAGCAAAAAGCCACAAACCTTTCTTGCTTAAAAAACAACAAAGAAAGAGCAGAGAATCCCATATATGAGGGAGACTGCCCTGTTTGCTTGTCCTTCATATTCTTCAGATGTCTTTAAGAATAAAAACAGCTCCAGGTATTTATCCAGTATTTTTCCCAGTTGAAATCGGTCCTGTTACCTGGTCGTTTTTTGGCTGCGTTGTTAGTACCGGTATATGAGATCATGTGGATAGCTGTATCTGGTTATGAAAATGAACAGAAGTGGACCATTTCCGAGGAGATTACCACAGTTAGTATTACTGAAATTTTTTAATATATTATTCTGCTGGTGGTTGTATCCGAACTGAATGAAATTACACCTGGCAGTGATCCTAAAGCTGGAATCTGCTCTCAATGTTTGTGCCATACGAGAGCTGTACAGCAATATAGGCTGAAATTCAATTACATCATGTTTAACACTGGAAGATGACAACAAAATTGCTTAGAACATAACACTTGAAGGTACCTGCAGCACCTGGCATTTTCAATAGCCTTTATGTCTCCATAGACATGGCATGCAGGTAAGACAGAAGAAGAACGTACTGGAGAAGAAAGAGTAAATAGAATTAGCCGGCATTTAAATAAATTATATATAAATCTATATATATCTTTCATATAAAATTGTAGTTTTAGCAATGGATAGCTTAAAAATTCTGTTTATGCAATGTTGTGTGTTCAGTTCAGTTTTTTCTGTTCACTTCATGAAGGAAATGATCCTTCAAGGAAACTCCACATCTCTGTGTTGATCCCATTTACATCACAGTGTGTAAATCCTGCTTCAGTTACTTACTGCTAGGAATGAAAATGTATGATAGACAAAACCTAATTAACGACTGAGCAGCAAAACACCGAGCTTATGGTAAAAAGTCATGACATCACGACATGTAACCTAAAGTTAATGCATCTTGTTTATGAGACTCTGCTCACAGAAAATACCTAAACCTAGTTTGATCTGCATTTTGCCAGTGTACAATATATTCTCCCAGGCAAAGCCCTTGCTATTGTATTTCATTATGTCTTAAATTATGTGTAGTATTTAGATCCTTGTGGTGCTGGAAGATCATTTTTGCTGTGAAACTTTCTTAATTATCAGCACAAAACTTATCCAGGTAAAGGGTAAAGAAATGACAGATGGACACTAGCATGAAAAGCCTGAGTCTCAGAAGTACTGTAGCTAATTCATCGAGAAAGCGAAGAACTGAGAGTACAACAGGGACCGTAACTTCTTTTTTCCTGACTATGATTTGACTCTCACTTTTTCTCTCTTCAACACAGGGAATCTAGAATATCAGTCTATCACAAACACTGGCACAACCTTTCCTCAAGTACAGTATATGTTCCTTTATCTGAAGACAGCACTTGTCGTGCCCCACTGTCTGTCTTCCTGGATGTGGAAATGCTGTCGGCTGGATCCTGCTTACAAGAAGCATGAGGCCAGTGTCACTCGACTGCAGTCCGTGCAAACCCACAGAATACAGCAGACCACTGACATGCTTCTCTGGATGAAATCAAGTTTCTGAAATTAACTGACAGGACTTAACAAGGATCTTTTCCTGAGTTAAGAGTCTTTGTCTCCGCACATTTCCACACACAGACTAACCATGGCTTAAGCCTGCTGTAGGTTTCACCTTCCTGTGATTTGGAACTGGCAGTGGTTTTTTGCTCTTTACCCTCAGTTTGGAAATGCAAATTGCTTGTGGGCCCGAATTGCCTGTTAGAGCGGGGAAGGCCACACATTTTGTCCAGTACATGTGCAGTTTGAAGCTGGCTGTTTCTCTTTGCAATTCCAGAACACAAACAGCAGAGCTACAGTGCCCACCAGAGTTCGACAGCGATCACTGTTCTATCAGGGACTGATTCTGTTCTTGCATGGCTTTTCAGCAAAACATCCATTATAAAACGTATGCCATTTACCATCTTCTCCCACAATGTTACCAATATCGGTCTCCTGAAGGAAGTCATCATACTTTTCTTTAGAATGAGATCAATGTAGTGAAGAATCCAGGAGTCCATCCTAGACCCGACATGTCCGAGTTCAGTCCATTTCTTCATTATAGTTACCTCATGAAAAGCTAGTTATCTACAAAATTAGATAAAAAAGACTTGAGATTTTTTTTAAGCTCTCTGTGATTTCATTATACCTAGGCTCTGAACTTCATGAGCTGGATTTGAACTTCCACAGCCTTGACCCTCCTAATAGCCTTGGTCACTGCAGCTGATTTCTTATAATAAAAATATGATGTTTTTACCATTTTACAACACGGGCATTCATTAAAAAGGGAAAACAACATCGCTCATTGCGAAACTGAAACGCTCGTCTTCACCCTTGAAAACACCCTAATTTACCTTGAACTTAGAAAGATACAATTCCATGAGAGAGGGAATGCCAAAAATATTTTAAAAATACACAAAAGTGTGCAGGAGAAAAGAGCAAGAAGACTACGTTTCCCCATTCCTTTTTCATCCCTTCCCGCTCCTGAGAGACCATATGTGAAATGTAAATCCTGTGGCATGAATACTGTACAATGCAATTAAGAAACATGCCATGATTATGATGAGAAGGATTTAAAGAAGAAACAGAATTTTTAATACAGCTCGCCAACCAGATAGGAAAAATGTGCTGCACCAAACCTTTTGGGATTTACTCTCCTTTTTTTTTCTCTTTGCAAGATTTTATTTTTTAACTCTCTGACATTCTGATCAGAACCAAATCCCATTTACTTATTTTCCTAAGAGT